TGGGAGAGGAACACCATCACATGGGAGTGTGGGAGAGGAACACCATCACATGGGAGTGTGGGAGAGGAACACCACCACCATCACATGGGAGTGTGGGAGAGGAACACCACCACATGGGAGTGTGGGAGAGGAACACCATCACATGGGAGTGTGGGAGAGGAACACCATCACATGGGAGTGTGGGAGAGGAACACCACCACCATCACATGGGAGTGTGGGAGAGGAACAACACCACATGGGAGTGTGGGAGAGGAACACCACCACCATCACATGGGAGTGTGGGAGAGGAACAACACCACCACATGGGAGTGTGGGAGAGGAACACCACCACCATCACATGGGAGTGTGGGAGAGGAACACCACCACATGGGAGTGTGGGAGAGGAACACCACCACATGGGAGTGTGGGAGAGGAACACCACAACATGGGAGTGTGGGAGAGGAACACCACCACATGGGAGTGTGGGAGAGGAACACCACCACATGGGAGTGTGGGAGAGGAACACCACCACATGGGAGTGTGGGAGAGGAACACCACCACCACATGGGAGTGTGGGAGAGGAACACCACCACATGGGAGTGTGGGAGAGGAACACCATCACATGGGAGTGTGGGAGAGGAACAAGAGCATCACCTTGAAGCGTGGTAGGGAAACAACTCAGAAGTACAAAAACTAGCCATGGTAGCTGTAGTCAAGGGCGAGGGCTGGGGAGGGCGTACATTGGTGGAGAGAGAGAGAGAGAGAGAGAGAGAGAGAGAGAGAGAGAGAGAGAGAGAGAGAGAGAGAGAGAGAGAGAGAGAGAGAGACAGAGAGACAGAGAGACAGAGAGAGAGAGAGAGAGAGAGAGAGAGAGAGAGAGAGAGAGACAGACAGAGACAGAGAGAGGGGGGGGTAGCGAAGAAGAGAAGCATCTCATTCATCAACAAAGACTTACATCAACATAAACATAACAAGGGGTCCTATAAAGATGAAGGTTGTAGTACCTTAGTAAATACCTCACCACCGGATACTTCACTTGAGAAGGAAGTTGACAAAGTAACTCTCCAAAGCTCAATTTTACTGTGTTATTCTCCACACAACGAAAGAGAGGGTCATGAAAAACATTATAGATAGACTGTGACCCTCCAGACACCATCCAGAAGATTGAACTATTTATATTACTATTACCCGAAGGGTTGAGTGTAGGCCTAGCATAAAAATCCTGATTGGGCACCTGTTTACACCTCCAGAACCTCCTGTGAATTGGAGGAAAGTAGATACTGTTGATCCCCGACAGTAGAGAGTAAGATTATCAACATAGACGGTCGTAAAAATACCAGGAGGAAGGAAGATTAGGAAAGACTTGGGTAAATACTGGTTTGGTAACAGGGTTGTTGATTTGTGGAACCAATTACCGCGTAACGTGGTGGAGGTGGGGTCCCTCGATTGTTTCAAGCATGGGTTGGACATGTTTATGAGTGGGATTGGGTGGTTATAGATAGGAGCTGCCTCGTATGGGCCAATAGGCCTTCTGCAGTTACCTTGTTCTTATGTTCTTATGTAAGATCATTTAAGGGGAACTAGGAAAGGAGTAGTGGTCAGAACACTACCTTGGGGAAAACCTTCATATTATTGAAAGGACTCAGAGAAAGTGGTACCAGGTCTCACGTTAAACAAACGACTAGAGAAGAAGCTGTAGAGGAAGAGTGGGAAAGTACCGCGAGGACCACGAGAAAGTAGTTGGGATAAAATATAGTGTCTCCAGCTGGTGTCATAAGCTATGTTTTCCAGCTCAAAACGAACTGCAACAACGGAGGTCTTCACAGCAAAGACAGTACGAATGTCTTCCACGTCCACTAAAACATCACCTGTGATGCGGCATTTGCGAAAGTCATATTCAGGAGTACCAAATTCGCTGGTTCCCATCACCAGGGAACGCACCTTCGCATGTCACGAGAGGAATCGTGATTCGCGTGCCTCGCGGGAGGCACGCCAGCGCTTTGTCATGGGTTCGTATCCTGGCCGGGGAGGATTTACTGGGCGCAATTCCTTAACTGTAGCCTCTGTTTAACTCAACAGTAAAATGTGTACTTGGTTGTAACAACGATTCTTCGCGGCGGGGATCGTATTCCAGGGACCTGCCCGAAACGCTACGCGTACTAGTGGCTCTACAAGAATGTAACAACTCTTGTATATATCTCAAAAAAAAAAAATAGAGCGGAGAACAGCGTCAAATGGAAAAAAGGGCGGCTTGAGGAAGAGGCAGTGTCAGATAGGCCAGAAAGAGTAGCACAGAGATTGAATACATTCTGAAAATTTCAGCACGGAATTTTAAACTGCCACAGAGGGAATGAAAGGGAAGGGCGGAAAGAAAAGAAGGTTACGAGGATAGCCAAATGGTCACTATTGTGGAGGTTATCAAAAACCTACACCGAACAGGAGAAGGGAGAAAGATCAAAACAGGAAAGAGTGTGAGTGCACGAGTCAACATGAATTCACCAGAATTCAGGAATTCGGTAATGAGTCCAACAGGTGCTTAAGATCAGGAAGAGAAAGCGGAATAGGTGGCGAAAGACTAATAGAATAAACTGTGTACCATTTGCTAACAAAGATACAGGCGGTAGTGGAATGAACGTTTGACTGAAAAAGCAAGAGGACGAAGGGGATATCATTTCGAACCAAGAGAGCATGGGTAAGTCTAGCACAGACGGTATAGTGGAGAGGGCGGCGGGAAGGGGCAGAGGCAAATCAACATGTCCCGGTGAGGAAGAAGGCACTGGGGAGGGGCGGTCAAGGGAACGGCAGGAAGGTCTGGATCAAGGACAGTACCGGGAGTTTCCATAGTGATGCCAGCTGACTCCCTCTCCAAGATGAGAGGAGCTGCGCGGACAGTCCGAAGTGGAGAGCGGGAGTTGGACTGAAACTTTCTTACCCGCTGGAAAGGACGGACGGGAGGAACCAAGCTTGTATTTTTGACTGAGAGACACAGGTGTGTGACACAGGTGTACTCTGCAACAGTCTCTACTTTCTCAGGAATCGAGGAAGAACGAGAACGGACACGAAAACGCCTGGGAGAAGGATGGACATTGGCCTGGACGGACAAACCCCGACCTGATTGGTCGGGGCTTCCCAATCGACTTGAGAATGGTCCAGGACGGACCGAAACGTCGTCGTCCCTTCACCTTCTAGTGTGTGGTCTGGTCAACATTCTTTAGCCACGTTATTGTGACTCATCGCCTGCACATAGTGGAGTAATTATACTAAGATGAAGGCCAGCAGAAGACTGGGAAGGAAAGGTAGAGATACCGGTTGGTGAACCACAAGAAACACCCTTTGCTTGAGATCGCAGAGAAGCAGAAGACGACTTGGTGAAGGTGTCGGGGTTGAAGGCTGTCGTTGTTGTTTTAGATTCAGCTATTCGGAAAAAAATCCATGTAGCACGGGCTATAGTGAGTCCGTAATGGAGGGTTTAAGGCCTGGAAACGATTGCGGGACTGATGGAGGGAAGGAGGGTAGGGAAGAGAGGTGCGGTGCAATGCACGAGCATATATCCTGTCGGAGAAGATTGATTGATTGATGAAGATTAAGCCACCCAAAAGGTGGCACGGGCATGAATAGCCCGTAAGTGGAGGCCTTTTTAAGCCATTACCAGTATCAAGAGCTGATACTGAAGATCTGTGGAGGTGCGAATGCACCCTGCATGACGGGAGATGTCTCCCTTGTGAATGTGTTAAGATGAAGATGAAGCCAAGTTCCAAAAGGCTTTGGAACATGCTCTTGCTGAACATCGACAACATGTTATCATACATACAGATTCGAGAACTGCCATTGAAACCTTGCAACAAGAACACATATGTGATAACATCCATCTGATCACAAACGTCATATCATTAATGCAAACACTCAAACGACAAGGCCGATGGGTACTTATCAACTGGGTGCCAACTCATGTGGGAATAATAGGAAATGACATTGCAGACGAAGCTGCAAAACTTGCAACTAAGAGAAGAAATGTAGACATTTACATACCACAGAGTCTATCACAGATTAAGAAAGTAATTAGAAACAGAGCAATGCAAAAGATGTACAGTGACCACAACACAGCAGTTGCAACATTAGGATCTGTGGGTTGGTACAAGAATTCAACCAACTACGAACCACTTAGTTTGATGAAAGGGAACAGTAAAGCAACAGAAGTACACTTACATCGCATCAGGCTTGGATACCCATGTGCATGGGAAATAGGCTTACAGGTTCCAGAAGATGAGGGGGAAATGTCAACACTGTGGAGAAATATCCAACAGACCACTGGAACATTATCTAACACAGTGCACAGTTACAAACCCATTAAGATTTCAACTTAGATTCAAAAGAGCAGAAGTTGTTAAACACGGGACAAAATCTTACTGAAGCGACCATACGAGTCATAAATACTCATACTCTGCCCAAGTAAAACAGAAACAAGTAACACTTAGTGGACCAGCCAGAGGCTTAGGGCCCGCGCAAGAATATCCCTGCAAAAAAATGTCTCCACTCTCCATCACAACACAAGAAGTTAAACGAAAGAATATTCGAGGTCGGAACCGAGTTATCAGGAAGCCTCATCCAGAAAATAGTGGTGGAGAGGGAAGAAAGAACCCCAAGATAAAAGTTGTCCAGCAAATTTAGTAAAGATGGCCACAGGAGCACAAGGCTCCAAAAGGAAAGATGAAACCCCATCCTATGGAGCATTACACTGACAGCCATTAAGCCCACTGACTCCGACAATGGGTTGGACATTGAGAGGAAGATGGATGGATAGCTAGAGAAAAAGATGGATAGATAGATAGGTAGATAAATTAAATCAAATGTTTATCCAGGTAAAAGTACATACATACAAGATGAGTTACAAACATAATGTTGGATTTCTAGATAGAGCTTGTACATAGAATGTCTGAAGCCACTAATACGCACAGTATTTTGGGCAAGATGAACAGATAGGAGACAGACCCGGGCAACGCAGGGTACCCCTCTAGTACTCGATGTTGTTCCCAACATTCAAGTGTGAAAGAAGAGAAATCACAGACTCTGAAAAGCCTGAGAGTACAGTTTAAAACTTATTATTTCCTTATATCTGATACCCACTTATATATGAAGCACAAAACGTCTAGAAGACATTGCGACTTATTTGTTGTCAGGATGAGGCTAGGCTACGCTACCTGTGGCAGGAGGTATCTGTGTCTTAAGAGGACCGGCTGGTATAACTAACCATTCTTGGAGATATGAGGTGATTTTTCTAGTATCATATAGATCGCTCTTGACACACACTATGTGTCAAGATATATAGCTAGAGGGGGGGTTAGTAGTTAATCATATAAAGTAAGATATTGATATGCAAAATGCATGTTCTAATGGCAGACTTCAATTGTGGGGCTCCTCTCACTTAAATTGTGGAATATTTTGGGGTCGACACGAGCACCACCTGGTGGTACCCTTTATGATAGTAGTCGAGGATGGGATGAAGCAATACGTATAGTTGGGCTAGGCTAGAACTCTGAATCAGTTGAGAAAAACTAAAATTTACGATAAGGTAAGATTGATTAGATAAGATTATAATAAAATAAGTAGTAAGAATAAGATTAGTCATTGGCTAGGATTAGGGATAAAGTTTAAGGAAACGAGTTGTTAGATTTTTGTTTGGAGATATATTTCGAAATGATAAAACTGGGAATGGTGTTAGGCTAAGTTAGAATTGGTCAGAGGCTCGGAGTGATTGGGATTAGATACGTGGAGAGTCCAAATTTAGGTTGTGGCCGCAGGTGGCTGTAGCTGGGCCGGGCGTTGGGTTCGCTAGCTACGTGCTCAACCGCCATCTGTTTTTTTGTGTTCGGGCCGGGCGCACATTTCCACTCCCATACTCCCAGTCCTTTGTTATAAACTGCGCCATTGTTTTCCCCCACAGTCTACGCCACCATCTTCCCTTCCTCCTCGTGATCAGGCTCTACCACCTCCACCACTCTCCCCAACAACCAATACTTGATCTAACAAGCATATTGCTTGCTGAGTCATCAGCTCACTTAAAAAATTAGACTGTGCTTCGTGCCCACTTCTCTTCACATATGCGCTATGTATAGTGAGGATTGTGTGTAGTAAAGATCATGTGTAGTGAATATGGCGTAATGTGTAGACCATGAGTATTGATGACCGTATAGAGATCCTGTGAAGTGAAGTTTATTGTGTGCAGTGAGGACACAGTAGGACAGCGAGAAGCGCTGAAAACTCACGAACTTGGGGATCTGAGAAGACCCCGCTCCCTGAGGATGGGACCTTGAGGAGTCCTAAAGCACATCTGAATGTGGGATCTAAGAAGACTTCAGGAAAGTCGGCAGTAATAGTGAAGATCATGTATTCATCTATATGATTAAAGGGTGAGTTGATTATGTTGCCGGTTGATTATGTTGACTTCCTACTCTCTTGCGTCTTATCATATCTGATCTTGAAATTGGGAGGAATTTATCCTCAGTTACCTCCAATTTCAGTTCATTACACATACACTGTATAGCTACTCATGATGATATGTATCATGTGGCGCCATGTTGGCTCAAGTCCATGCTTGGACTCAACATATCGGACTCCTTCCTTATACCTTATACCCATGGCTGCTTTTCGAGTAACTGTTATATTAATTCTCTAGAATTGTTAATTCGTGATTTTTCGGTAGTGAGAGCGTGATAGATGGTTTAAGGTCCTATGTAAAAGGAAGTAAGTTTGCTTTAGAATCCACTAAGGTAACAACAAGATTGACTCCTCCAGTTGGAATTCTCAAAGCAATTACACTGCTTTGGTGGTGGGTCTTGAGGGCTTTGTTGGAGCCCAGTGAGACTGGGTTCCTTCACACTCTACTTGGGTAGAACCAGGACCATAAGCTGTCTGTGGCTCTTCCACCCATGTGTTTGCTAAACATAGAAATTATTTTATTCCCCGTTTACTGTCGGCTGGAAGTGGCTGCAGTTGGAAGTAAGATGCAACAGACGTCTTCAGAAGAGGGATAGAGGGTAAAATAGGAGGTTTAGTGAGGCCCAACTGAATCAATCGGCTTCTCTGACTAACGGGACTAGCTGGGGTTGGGTCAAGTGGGAACTTCGATGGCGATATTCCCGTAGGTTCTTTGTTTACCATTTTAACTTATCATTGGCTACCTGGGGTGTATATTCTGTTACCTCTGGGGTCTTCTGAGTGCTTTTACCTCCCCTTGTTGGAATTCCATGGTAGGTGAGGGCTCAGAGAAATGACGTTTACTATCTCGTCATATGCCTTGCATTTCTCCAACCTCACTGCCTTACTTCATCTCAGTTTCGTGTGACAGGCGAACAAGTCCGCGAGTCGAAACCCTTTAGAAGATCTGTTTCAGCTCACGCAGTGGGGAGCTCTTTGTTGGTGCCGCGGCCTGTGCTGTTGTGGACCCGGTCTGGGCACCACCACCTGGTCACCTTCCCGGTCCTCCTCAACCCCCGCCCCCTTCTGTGGCAGTTGCTACAACTATATTCTGTTTAGTAATTTCTCATATCCCAGTACCAGTGCAATATTTGTTGAGAATTTAGCCATGTGGCTTCAGCTTTCAGAAGTGCAATGTACTTTTTCTCATTTTGTGGAGAGTCCGATCATGTTAGTCTGCTTACTTTACGCTACTGAATTTCTGCATTAATTGCAGTGGTGCCCACCCTGCACTCTTATGCACTGTACTCACTATAAAATGAAGCTCTTTCTGCACCTCAAGCACAAGGGCAGCATCACCTTTTCCAAGAAAAGGCATTAATTATGACACCCGGACCTTTTCACAGACGCCACAAATGTCCCCTTCCTCCTCGCCACTAAAGCCTTGACTGATGCGCCACGTTCTCCTACCCCTCTACAGTCTTGGGTTGGAGTAGTAGAAGGCATTCATCAGTTATAGGAGACAATGGAGTTGCACTCTGGTTGTCGGTCTGGAGTGACATCTCACGGTGTCCCCATGACAACGTGGATTTCACTCCATCATCCACGTATTACTTTTTTTTGCCCATCCTCCATGTGCGGTCCAGTGCCTCGCCCCTATGTCTATCAGCACCTCCATTGTCAATGTTGGTCCTCTGCAGGCTCCATCTCCATTTACGTCCTTTCCTCTGCATTCCGGAGTGTGACAACGTCTTCGTTCTAGACTCTGGTGATGCTTTCATTCTGGTGTCTGACGAATGTCCTCGTTACGGAGTCTAATGACGTCCTTGTTCCAGTCTGATGACGTCCTCGTTCCAGTCTAACGACGTCCTCGTTCCGGATACTGATAACGTTCTCGTTCCGAAGTCTGATGACATCCTCGTTCTGAAGCCTAACGATGTCCTCTTTCCAGAGTCTGGTAACGTGAGTGTTCTAGACTATGACAATAACTTCGTTCTGGCTCTAATGACGTTCTCATTCCAGAATCTGACGACATCCTCGTTCCGGACTCTATCAACATCCTCAGTCCGAAGTTTGGCGCTGTCCTCGGTCCGCAGTTTGATCATGTCCTCGTTCTGAAGTCTGACGACGTTCTCATTCTGGAATCTGACCGTGTCCCCGTTCCTGAATGTGACAACATTCTTGTTCCAACTGGACTGAACAAATCCTCGTTCCGGTCTGACGTTCCAGATTATAATGAATTCCTCGTTACAGAGCCTGACAGCGTCTTCATTCCGAAGTCTGGCGACGTTCTCGTTCTGGAATCTGACAACATTCTTGTCCCAGAATCTAAAGACATTCTCATTCCAAAATCTGACGACGCCCTCGTTCCGGAGTATAACGACGTTCTCTTTCCAAAATCTGAAAACGATCTCGTTCCGAAATCTGACGACATCTTCGTTCCCGAGTCTGACGACACTCTCGTTCCAGAGACTAAGGACGTCCTCGTTTCAGAGTCTGACGACGCCCTCGTTCTGAACTTTGACGACGTCCTCATTCCTGAGTTTGACGACGTCTTCGTTTCGGAATCTGTCGACGTTCTCGTTCCGAAAAACGATGACGCTCTCACTCAGGAGTCTGACGGCGTCCTTATTCCGGAATCAGACGACGTCCTCATTGCGGAGCGACGACGTCCTCATTGTGGAGTGACGACGTCCTCATTACAGAGTGACGACGTCCTCATTCCTGTCTGACAGCGTCCTCGTTCAGAAGGTTGACGACATCCTCAGTACGGAATGAGGACGTCGTTACTCCGCAATGATGACGTCGTCTGATCCAGGAATTAGGACGTCCTCAGACTCTGTAATTTGACGACGCTCGTTCCAAAGTGTGACGGCCTCCTCATTAGGTCCTAGAACCTTATAAGATCGAAATAAGATGTATATTACTTCTTTCCTCAGCATGTCTCTGTTTCGATTTCATAAAGCGTCCAGGACGAGCCGAAATGTCGTCGCTTTACTTTTATATGTGTGGGGGTGGGTTGAGTGTTCCCTTTCTCCCACTTACTTGTTACATTGCACACACATTCCACTGCCGCTCGTATATTCTTTAGTAAATGGCAGACTATCTGTTCTCTTGATCTCCCTCCCCCATCATCTGACCCATCTTGTTGATTTGAAGCTGTTTTTAGATTTTTTACCAACGTTATTACTTATTTTAGGTGACGTTATCTTTGGCCTCTGGAGAGGTTCACTTTTTAATATCCATGGCTGTCTTTTAGAACCCTTCATGCTTTCTTCATTCTTATTTCTGTCGAATGCTACTATATGTAGTGATCTTTCTATTTACACTTCTTTCAACTGGACCTGGATTGATGGAACTTAGACGTCATCAATAACAGCGGCATTTTTACTGTTATCTTGTTCTTGAATTATTTTTCTGTCTCTAAGTGGCATTTTGACCAAACTTACTGAAAACTCTTTACCACCTAAACCTCTATTTCCGAAGTCTTCTTCACGCTCAATTTCTTCTCTTTCAACTTATTTTATGCTGCCCTTTATTCCATCTCCCACTATGCCTTCCATGGCACGAAACAGTGTGTTCTTTAGTGGAATTTGATCTGTGGCAGCGTACGCTCACAGCATGGAGGAAACACCTGCACTCTACGACAATAGGCTTTTCCATTCTGTTTAAAAAAAATCAGTCCCGAAGCCCTCAGGGTCATTCATCTTCATAAATTGGAGCATTAGAGATCTTAAGTGTCCATTATCAATGGTAACACTCCTCTTCCCTATGTCTAGAAGAAGATTAGCAAGACTGCAGGTAAATTCGTTCTAGACGTATTGCCTGTCCATCAACTTTATGATTCCATTATTGCCGACCCAGAGTCACACATCTCGATCTGTGTTCGCCTCCTGACTTCCGTGGCCGTAAATTTTGTGCTGAATCTCATCCTTTGGATTGTTATTTGCAGGTTCGGTACTACAATGATTTCTTGGCTCTTTCTGAACTTCAATTTGTTCCGTCCCTTTGCCACTTCACGGAGGCGGACTCTGATGGTGTTCACTATGATCATCTCTGCCATCTTCCTCCATATTATAGCCAAATCTGGAATGCTGGATCTATCCCCGAAGCCTGGCTCAAGGTGTTTGTTCGTCCCATTAAGAAACGGTTCATAAGAAACTTCGCCTAGGGATTTTCGATCCATTGACCTGACCAGTTGTGTCAGCAAGCCTTTTGGAAGTATAATTATCAATCACTTTACAGGATTTTCAGAACATAATCATTGCGTCCCCCCACTCCTCACGCTACCTGGAGCGGCGTCAGTAGTGGTCTCGGTAATAGTTGGATTCGTTCTCGACTCACAATCGGGAATACCAGATTCGAATGCCAAGCGGGACAGACATAGTTAGGCACGTTTCCTATCACCTGATGCTCCTGTCTACCTAGCAGTTTGTTTTTCCTACGACAGACGTGGCAGAGAATTTACAGGAATGTACAGGCAGGTTGGCATTAACACTGCTAACCAGCATATGTACATTTTCTTCTGTCCTCCATGGACAAGGTTAGAGGTCTGTTAAACATATAGTTCAGTAATTTATTGAACAATCAACCACAGAAGGTGATTGTAATGCTTTTAAAATGCTAATCTAACCTACACACATAAATACAGAGATTTACGTCTGTCCTACATAAACAGTGTTCGAGGTGTCTTTTACACTGTGTCATTAATGTGCGTTTACAAAGGTGACATGCAATTCTGACCAGCTTCCACATACCTTGTGTATATATATATATATATATATATATATATATATATATATATATATATATATATATATATATATATATATATATACATACACACACACACACTTATGTCTCTCCTACTTTGACATGGTAAGATAGCTTCCATAAAAACTAGTGTGTTATTAAGCACTTGATAACTGAAGGTGATAAAGATACTTTCACAAGCTCAGGTTATAGTTACATCACATACATTGTATAATTGATACATTACATGGTCAATCTTGGGTACAAGTTCAATATATCAAGTGTTCCAGTATTCATAATTATTTACAGAGTTCAGCATACCTCAGCCCAGGAGGGCGAAAGTCAGTCAGTATGGGACATTGTACAATATAATGTTCAAGGGAGTGCATGTTTTAGTAAATAGGTACCCGAGTTTGTTAGTTTTTTGTCGTGTTGCGTCCTTGGAATGGTCAGTAGTTCAACCTTGGGTGCGACCTCGATTCCAGCCTAACGTGCATACATACACAGGCTGCCTGTCCCCCCTACAAAACGAATCATTATTATAGGTGTGCTGCTGCATCCATGACAAAACATATGAAGTATCACATGCTTCTAGAATTGAAGTGTTCGGATCATTGTTTTCAATACGTAGTCTACGTCAGGCTTCGCATCACAGACAATAATTAACGATACAACGGAGACCTGAGTTAGCTTGGTGTGGATCAAATTTCAATAGATATGTTTAAATCAAGCTGAATGGGCCGTTAGGTTGATAAGATTAGCGTGTAAACAGAGACAGTGGGAGGGAGGTGACGGCCAGCGCCGCGCGGGAGGGTGCGGACACCTCGAGGACGCCTTCTGCCACACTCGTATATCCAAAGAGTCAAGGTAAACACAGAAGTTATTTTTAGCTTCTAATGCAACCGCTGGTAAAGGACGCTGGTACACCTACGTGATAAACTGTCATTCCGGGGTTTGAATGTACGAAAAGAGCTTCATTATGTTTAGTCAACCGTCAACAGACCGTATTAAGATGTTGGTTGGCTGCATCACGTTACATTGCTCCAAGACCTCTACCATGCCGGTGACCAACCGTGTCCTTGTCTCTCCCACTACCACTTCTTGAACACCCTACTCTTCTCTATCCCCTCCTCCCTTCCACCTCATTCCGCGCTAATTTATATTTAAACGCCAAAGGACCACATTGCTGTTATTGTTGTTTAAGACTCGCTGTTTGGAACAAAAAGTTCCAAGTAGCATCTAAAATCTAGTGGCACTGGTTCATGATATTAACTGATACTGGTTCAGTATATTGTGTCTGGTTCATATTAAATGACACTGGTTCATGATTTTAAGTGACTGCTTCAATATACTAATTGTCATAGGTTCATGACTAAGTAACACTGGTTCAGTATATTAAGTGTAACAGGTCAAGTATAATAAGTGCCACTGGTATATCCAGTGACTAGTTCAGTATATTAGGTAACTGGTTCAGTATATTACGTGACTGGTTCAGGGTATCAAATGACTGGTTGTTTATTTATTTTATTTATTTACATACAATAAGGTACAATGGGTTGTAGAAATACATATAATACTGGATTGGTACTCACTTGGTACATTCTTGGAAAGCCACAAGCACCCATAACATTTATGTGACTGGTTCAGTAATTCATGATATTTACTGAACATTTTCATGTCTGATATACTTATGAGTTTATGAAAAAGGAATTCCTGGTCTACCTACATCATAAATCTTAAGTACATGGTTAAGATATTTCTGGTCGTTATTACTGGAAGTGAAATATATGACAAAATGTTTATGCATTTTCTGTACACCTGTCTTCTACACACCTGTCTTCAACACACCTGCCTTCAACACATCTGTCGTCAACACACCTGTCTTCACCACACCTGTCTTCAACTCACCATGTTGGTTGATAATCTAAACATTCAATAAACAAACCATTGTTATTTATCAGTTCCTGTGTAAACATTAATTATGAAGGCACTAAGTTAAACTTTTCTGTAAATATATTAATGATATAAATATATATATAAATTATACTATGATTTATTGAATAAGTCTGCTTACTAGCTTGACATTTAAAATATTATAAATACAGTTTTTATTCTGTTTAATTGAATAGAGTTCACTACAAAAAAAATATATTATTCATAATGTTGCAATTGATGCCTTCAGTATTCGCACTGAAATTTCAAATAATAAAATTAAATTATGATCCCCCTTGTCTGAATACCATTGTTTTCACCACTGTCTTGTTCCCTGCTCGTAGTGAACCCCTATAAGGCGTCCCTAGCTCATCCTAACAGTTCCTGGCCCCCTCCTGACAATCCCCGACTCCCGAAAATATGGGCAATTAATAGCACTATGCTGCCGCGTGATTAAATCACACACGTTGTAAAGAATTTCACATTTGAACCTATTTATAGTTCATGAATACACTCAAAATCAACACTCAATATTTTACATATTTATAAGTCTGTAATTATCGAAATTGGATTTGCATTAAGAATTGTTTCAGTGTCAGAGTAGTAAATCGAATGCATTAGGAAGTGACGTGGTGGAGGTTGACTCCATACACAGTTTCAAATATAGATATGATAGAGCTCGATATTCTCAGAAACCTGTACACCAGGTGATTGACAGTCGAGAGGCGAGGCCAAAGAGCCTTAAGCTGAGCCCCAGCAAGCACAACTAGGTGAGTACATACATATATACATACCCACGCACATAAAAAGGCCTATAACACAAACATTTAATTCACACTGAAATCGATAGAGACGGTGGACACGGACCAGCACCACGAGACTAGAGTCCGGGGCGAGGTGTAGCCTGCAGGTACAGGCTACACCCATACACTCTCCTACACCCACACCCACACACACACTTACACCCACACACACCTACACCCACACACACTCACCTACACCCACACACACACACCTACACTAACACACACACCTACACCCACACACACACACCTACACCCACACACCTACACCCACACACACACACCTACACTAATACACACACCTACACCACACACACACACCTATATCCACACACACACCTACCTACACCCACACACCTATACCCACACACACACACCTACACCCACACACCTATACCCACACACACACACCTACACCCACACACACTCTCCTACCCTTTTCTGAAAAGTTACGTAAGACCCCTCCTAGCTGTCACCTTTACATCCCAACTTCCGTATGCCTCGGCTCTGGCGTTTGGGAATGTGGCAATTCGCTGCAACATGGAGGAACACATCAGGTTAGAGCACCGTGCAAACGTGAATGACAAACTCTCACGCTTTCTAACATCGACCCGCGCTTATTTGGGTAGAAAAATTGTCCACGGGGGTGAATCTGAATCGATTAAAAAGGCTGGCGTGTGATTACATTCCAAACATCACTGGAAGTGGCAATGGGGTCAGCCACAGTATGTTGTTGTTGTTAAAAGATTTAGCTACTCAGGACGAAGTGGTCCATGTAGCACGGGCTATGGTGAGCCCGTAATTGAGTTTGGTTATACATGATAACCTTTTTTCCTGTGATGAAGCCACAGTATATTTTGTAGGTTGGAAATAGTGAGAGAGTGAGGTGGCGGGAGTGGCAGATACGTTGAGTCCGTCACGTACACACTTCCTCGCCGCCACACGCCGCTCCGTCCTCAAATGTCAACATGGCCGGCTGCACCTTGCTGCCACGCTCAACTTCCCGCATTTTCTACACCGTCCTAAACACCCTCTCTCGCGGATTTTGTGTGTGCACCATATAGTGGAAGCCTTATTTATAAGAACAGGATAACCTTTATGTGTTAGTCATGCTTAAACTATAAATTGGGAGGTCGGGAAGGCAGTGCGCATGCGCCCAGGTGTGGTAGATTGGGAGCAGCGTGGTGGCGGGAGGTTCAAAAGACATATAACGCAGCTGGCAGACTTGTCTTATCCATTCCAGTGCGAGACACGCGGAGTGCTGCACCGTCCGCGGCTCCTAGGGCATGACAGACACACTCTTGTGGCGCTTTCATACAGCCTTGAGTGGAGTCTCGAGTGGTATATAAATAGCACAACTTGGGAACTATTTTCGCGTACTCCAACTTTATGAGGTGCATTGTGCGTGAATGACATTGGATATCACGTGGTTGATCTCTTACAAGTACAAATGATTACCAAAGATTGTTCTGTGATAATTTTGATATAGTACCAGATACCATTTAACCTAACGATAAACGGTGCCTTCGTTTATAAACAATATATATATATTATAATATAAATATAAAATTAGGTCATTGTGAGAGCGAGAGAAAACGATCATTATGCAACTAACAACAAGACCCCAGTACAACTCGAGGGAGGAGGAGCAGCTGCAGTCTTTGCAACAGGTGGTCATGTGTGGGGAGACCAATCCCGAGGACCAGAGTGAGACATGTGTGACTCCAGCGGCCTCACCAACAGACCAGGCCAGCCACTGCCGCCTACCTCTCCACCTCCTGGTAGCAGACACACAGCCTACCACCACACACCTGTCCTCCAACACACACTACACCAGCCAACAGAGCGATGAACACAACTGTACCTGTCCAGACACCATTCCCGGCCACACCAGAAAGAGGAAAATGATAGATGAAGACAAGGAATTGAAAGACAGAGAGGCCGAAAAGAAACTAATAATTAGAAAGAGAAGAGCACTAATCAATGGTGGACACAAAGGCGAAAATGTTCCTCTATTTTATTTATACGGCGACTTCCTCCTCATACCTCAGTTCAGATGGGTAAGTTGACTCTTTTTAAATACAATAATCTCTCTCCAGATGATTTTTTTCTTACATAGCTCAAGTCATTCTTTATTAATTAAATGGATATACTTTGCTTAGCTATTTGTAGGAAAATCACAAATATGTATAAGACCATAAACATATATAGTTATACACTCACTTTAATGTTTTATATCAATACAAAGACATTATTTTAAATATATTTTATGGCGAATGGTGATACGTGTCAAGGTGGTTGTGGTGTGATATTTTTAGTGGTGTATGTGTCAGAAGGTAGCTTCGTGTGAATGGATTTTTGTTGTCTTTTAAATTAGGCTTTTTTGCTATCTATGTTGTGCAAGTACAAGGGAAAACGTCTATTAATGCTTATGAGCGTGGCTTTAGTATTCATAAGAAATTGAGTAACTTTGCAAAATGTGGGTGTATGAAATGTGACATTTAAATTCACGTTAATGTTTGATATATAGAGTCAGCAGGTGTACAGATGTGCCAATAACTTGATTGATGATTACGCCACCCAAGAGGTGTCACGGGCAGGAATAGCTCTTGGGTGGCACGGGCATGAGTAGCCCGTAAGTACCAATAACTTCAAAAGTACCTACCCACTACACCACACTGATAGTCAATGTGGTGTAGTGGGTAAAGTAATACGCGAAGATGAATGGAGCCCCTAGCTGTCTGGGTTCGAACCCTTCACGAGGATGAGTTTCTAATATATATATATATATATATATATATATATATATATATATATATATATATATATATATATATATATATAGAGAGAGAGAGAGAGAGAGAGAGAGAGATTCGTAATTACTACTGGGTGTAGAGGGGCAATTTTCCCATTCTGCCGTTCTTGCTTGCCAGGGGAGCGTGTGACAATGTTTTATAATCACGCAGTCTACACCACATCATGCTTAATATACTTTTAAAGTTGCAAGAAAATGTAACTTTATGTAGATTCAGTTTGACTCTAATAATAGTGTCAGCAGGTACACTTATGTCAAATGTGTTAGGTGCACGTGGGTGCGCATTGTGTACCTAAAACTGCGAGTGCGTGTGAAAGCGTTCCTGGTCCACTATGTAAACATGGTGTGTGTGTATGCATGCCTGAGTGGCTGGCGTCTTACCCCCCCCACACACCTCCCCATCCCCCCGCCTGGTCTCCTCCCACACCTGCTGTACCAGTAGGTGGGGGGTGATGAATCCCCGTGAGGGTCACCTTACACAACCTGCTCCTCATCAGCGACACCACACCGGCGCTCACCACACGCTTCTCACAACCTAGTCTGCAGCTGGCATATAAATCATGAAGTTAGCTTTGTGTGGGCTGGGCTTGTATGATAGGGCTAGTAGTGGCAAATTCGGAATTATTTGTCAAGTCTGGTGGGTGCATGCTCAAAAGTCTATGCGCGGCTTTCCAAGATTGCACCATTTATTTCTAAAAATCTGTACTTTGTGTCAGTAATTACTTAAACTGCACATTGTATGCAATAATCTCAGCATTTGATACAAACTTTTAAGTTATACTGACCTTAGTAGTAACTCAGTACTAGTACTATATGGGAACGCTTGCGGGAAATGCTTTATGCAATGAGTTATACTTGCACTTAATGAAAAAATCAAATACGATTAATAACACAAATTATCACAGAAATCTAACCGAAACATTAATCCAATAGTCTTAATTATTAGCATTCTACCAGTTTCAGGCAATAATAGCAGTCTCATTTCACTGAGAGATATAACGATTATTAGACTACAATAGCAAATGGCGTGAAGTGTTCTTCACGTCCTCAGGATATCCTGAAATTGACAGGATGCAAGCACTTAAAGTTGAACTCTACTTTGAAGGGGTTGTTTTCCGGGAAGTGACAGCACGTAATAGCTCTGCGCAGCCCGGCGATAATAGGAGAGATTCGGTCGGGGATCCATATTTCCTATATTTCCCCGAAATAATTGTACTTATGGTATTTGAGAGGAATATGGACTTTGCAAGTGGATATTAGTGCATATGTTGTACTGTAGTAAATTGTAAACCAATTGGAGAGGTAAGGAATAAAAGAACCATTTTCGTATGCCAAGCCTAATACAGTCCAAAATTAAGCCCTTTATTATGTACAATAGTCGTTATAGGTCCTATAATTCTGTAAGCTCTGTTAGTGAAAATAGGCACCAGTGTTGCGATGATGAAGGGTTATTCACCTGGTTGGTATATCCTAATGTGAAAAAGATTAATATACATCACGCCACATTCACATAGTGTACTACTACTACTACATTGGGACTGACCAGAAAGAAAATGGAAATAAGCCTTTGTGAATTTCGTGCCCAAATAGCGGTTTATATATAGCGCCATGAGTCTTTGACGAGGAATGCTTGCTCCTGCAGTGGAAGAAAGTGTCCCCGAACACAGTCAAGGTTTCCACCTTAGTACCCGCGAAACATTGCTCGAGTAACATGTAATCGACGTTGGATCAATGTTTTCCACGATGATCCACATTACATCAACGTAATTTACCCAGATTTGCTAGCGGAGGAAAAGGGAGTGGCGCAGCACTTCCAGAAAGTCAAAAACATCCAATACAGTGACTGGTAGGCTACCAGAAGTCAAAAACATCCAACACAGTGACTGGTAGGCTACCAGAAGTCAAAAACATCCAATACAGTGACTGGTAGGCTACCAGAAGTCAAAAACATCCAACAAAGTGACTGATAGGCTACCAGAAGTCAAAAACATCCAACACCGTCACTGATAAGCTACCAGAAGTCAAAAACATCCAACACCGTGACTGATAGGCTAGCTTTGGACACTGATCTGCAACCGTTATTTTCTATATGATTATACGACGACTGTGCTATCATCTTGGGATCAAGTATTTCGTCCATTTGCGTATTAATTAGATATAGATAAACAGGGAAACGGTGAAGAGTCAGCTAGTCGCATTCCGTCTAACAGGCTTCTGACGCAACACCTATTGTTTCTCCATCATTTTCTCATTTAGTACCCAAGTGAGCGAATTCAACTCGACTGCGGTTTTCCTATATATATATATATTGTTATCACTTTTCTGGTCCCAGTTTTTGGATTTTCTTTTGCCTTACGTTTAGTTAAATATTATAATTAGTGCATAAATGTATACTAAATATCAGCAACTCAAACTGGGAACAATACACCTTTGTAGATATTTTAGAGTTCTAAATATACACAAGTGTGTAATACTTTTTAGTATGTTTAAAGTTTTATTATACATTTGGTATTTAAGTAGTGTTTGAACAAAAAAATATCAGGAATAGGGGTAGAAGATATAATGCAATACAGACTCAATGGGCATTTTGTTTATCTTTAAACTTAAAACCATTGCTCTCCCTAGCCTAATCCTGTAAGTCCACTACGGACTCACCATAGCCCGTGCTAGGGTCTGTGTATCAACAATACTGGGACTGGCCTGTGCACCCAAGGGCCGTGTTCATCCTGCTGTGCACTTTTACGTTTGAAAGCATCATGATAAACGCTTTCTTAAGAAAATATTGTTGAAACTTTTAAATGATGACCCTAAAGAGCTTATACAATTTTATCTTATATAATTATTTCCAACAAATTACAATTTACTGGAACTTTTGGGGGAAATAATTGCACGTAAGGGCTCTAGGACTATCAATGTTTTTGGTAGATTAGTTTAATAATAGATTAATACCTAAATGAAAAACAATTAAAATCAAGTTTACTTTGGAATGAATAAAAACTTAAGTACACGATAGAATGATGAATTAGTAGTAGGCATCCATCAGTTTCAGGAGATTGAATTGAGAAGTGTAATTAGTAATATGGTTGGGATTGGTGGGTGTGTGAGGTAGGGATGGGGGGAGAGGAGGCAAGAGTAATGTGCAGTCTCTCACGTACTTCACGCAGCCGCCCTTCACTAACCACAACAACCCACGGATCAACAAGGGCATATACTTGCATAGTATTGTGTAAGTACTTCAAGTTACACAAAGTGAATCAAAATAAATTGATACGAGTGGACTGGCTTTTGCTGTTTGGGAAACAATGGGTTGTGTTGATGCGCGTCGCAAACTTTGTGATGAACAGCCTACCGTTGTTCTTAAATGAAATGTATCAGAATTCCAACATACATTATTAAAATCCAGTTATAGATGCGATATTATTTCAGGTGAAACACTAGTTTTATACTAGTTTATTGTACATAAATATACACATTTATACATATTTTATACATATTCATACCTCATTGCAAAATGTTATATGATGCTAGTTTAAATTTTGCTAATCCGGTATCTGATAGCTCTCATTCATATATTATGGTCAACATAAGATATTTTTCATAATATATAACAGTTTAGTAAATAACTGAGGCAATGTAGAGAGTAAGTTCCTATATGTGGGTGTCCTTATCACTCCTCCCGAAATTGAAATTGAAATAAGTTTATTGAGGTAAAATACACACAAAGGGATGAGGTAGCTCAAGCTATTCTCACCCCGTTCAGTACATCGTGTTAATACATACATATACACACATCACAAACAATAAACATATTACCAAACATTCTGAGAGTTGGCGAACCTTAGGCCCGACGCCAGACCCATTCCATGGTGTGTTGAACAAACCCCCTAAATATTTATTGATATAATATATTCTCGAGTAATGTTTTATTCCTTAAAGATCCCCCTGGAAAATACAATAACACCACTGAGGAATGAGCAGTTTAATTGTAACGGGAGCTTCAGCTTTACCTATAAAATGTGCTCTGTACAAATGCCGCACATATAAGCCTTGCCTTTGATGGAAATACAATTTAAACAATAATCATATGTCGGTTTAACTAGGACTCATTACTTTGTAAAATTTGCATTTTAATTTTTTTAAGTAATTTAGTAATTTACTATGAAACACTTCAGTGGCAATTATATTTATAATAATAATAATAATAATAATAATATTTATTTAGGTAAAGGTACATACATAAAGAGA